ACTGATGGCAAAGAAAACAAGAAAAAACCCTAGACTAGGAGTGCAAGGAACAGAATTCTGGGCAGTTTTGATTTGCTCAGTTAAGCTCTGATACCATATTAGGAGAAGAAGAAGAAGAAGAAGAAGAGAAGAGAATAAAAGGGGAGAAAGGTCTGGTTAGAACAAGAGAGAAAAATCAGTCTCTCCCATTCGTCCAGATCTGTTTTATATTTCTATTAATCTGGAAATGACACCTTTGCCCCTACTCAAGTGAGGGACATAAGTACTAACATAACTTTACACATCAGCAACTTAAACATAAGCATAAAGACAAAATTACCCCCACACAGTCGACATTAACGAAAGATAATTTTTCTTCTAAGAAACAAGTCTTTTTTCAAATCTTTCCACCACCAAATTCCAAAAACTTCCTTTCTTGGGGTTATCTCCTAGGGGTAGGCCTAAGTAATTCGGATACCAATTCAAAACTACACATCCTAAGATACCTACACACTTCCTAATCTCACTCCCCTCCATGTTCACTCCCACTATACAACTTTTCTCAAAACTCACCTTAAGGTTGGATATTTGCTCAAAGAGTTGTATAGCCAATTTCAAGTTCCAAATCCAATTCAAGTTCCCTCCTTCATAGAATAAGATTGTATCATTTGCAAATTGCAAGAGGGTAAGTGGTACCTCCTCCCTTTCTATTCTTCACCCTCTTAACAAATTCCTCGAATTTGCTCTATAAATCAATTACCTTAAAACATCTACAATCAAGGTAAGTGGGTCTCCTTGTCTTATTCCTCTCAAGGCAGGGAGAAAATCCACAACTATTCCATTTACCAGCAGTAGTGAGAAGTCCTAATACATCCCATGAACCATTTGCATCATCTATCCCCAAACCCAAAGTTGACCCAATACTTCAGCAGAAAGGACCAATCATGAATATGTTTGATTTTCTATACTTTAACATGAACTTTATAATGTAAATAGCATTTCATGTTCTTAAAATATCAAGCATATGTCATCCTTAAATTAGAAGATTTTTAGAAATTTTTTTATTGCAAGATAGATCAATCTATGAACAATCCATTCCTCCTCTTATTTTCTATTTCTCTCAACTTCACTCTTGGAGTTCAACATAGCATAGATCAACACTCTAAATACTGCCGACCCCTACCTCCAATGGATGATTTGGAAGATAGGGACCATTCTAAGAAATACTCCCATCTCTTTTTTTATCAATAACAAAAAAAACCATTCATTAATTAATAAAAAACACACATATTTACATTCAATGTTTAGAGAGCATAGAAGGAATTATATCTCCTGCCATACATTACAACTATGCCCAAAACATTTGGTCCCGATCCACCCCTTGTTTTGCTAAAGCATTTGTCAAATTGTTCAGTAATCTTTGCACCCATTGAATTTGTACTCACATATCTGTTGTTAGCCAGAGGATGGGCCTTGGTAAAACAGCTGGGTTACTCCATTGTGACCTAGGTGACAAGGGTTTAAATCTCTGAATGTACAGGGGTAAGGCTGTGTACATCTGTCCCTCCCAGAGCCCCCATTGGTGAGAGACCCGTGCACAAAGCTGCCTTTTTTTATCCCTTATTAGCCGCCTAAGTTTCTTAATTTCATTTATTTATGTCCATAATGTTGTATCATTAGTTAGTAGGCAATTAATTTCCACCTTGGAGTATCCTTCTTTAATTTGATTACCCAATTACAATTCATTTGTCCTTTGTACACCTTGCATTACTGTGAATAATTCCTCTAGTAGAGAGTATCATATTCCAATTGGGCATGAGAATAAAGCAATTATGTGACCTCTTCATTCAAAAAGACCCCTCCAATTCCTAAGGGTCCTGGGTTTCCCATACTACTGCCTCCAATTCCTATAAACCATTCCCTAATTGATCAAGTAATCCTTTCTCTCCTCGCACAGTTCCCAAAGATAATCTCTCATTGCTTTTTCAATTTTTCTAATCATATATTGTGGGATTTTGAAGACTAACATATAGTAAACAGGGAGCTTAGCCAACAAAGGTGTTATCAAAGATAATCTACCACCTAAAGAGATAGTCCCTTTTCCAAACAACCAATCTTTTGGATCCTAGGGGATTCCAAAAACTACTCTCCATAGGGCTGGATCCTAGGGGGTTCCAAAAACTACTCTCCATAGGGTTGGATCCTAGGGGTAGGCCTAGATAGTTCAAGGGCCAAGAAGTGAAACCACAGTCTGTCATTCTGCAGCCATTTCAGTCTTCTTTCCTTGTCCCTCCCTACCTTCCAACCCTTGACCAATTGCAGCCTGTCTGCTTTAGAAATTAATCTACTCAACACATCAGCTAGGAATTACTCCCATCTTGTCAAGAGATTTAATCAATAATTTGTTCCCTTTTTTTCTATGATACCAATTAGGGTGGTTATGTTAAGAGATTTAGACAAGCATTTGTTATATTATATAAGGTAGTTAGGGATGTGAGAAGGAACTCCAAATTCTCGACCCATTCTCCAAGTCTTCTCTTCTTCCTCTTCTTTTTCCTTCTTATTCTTCTTATATATCTTCATTCTTCTTGTTAAATATTAGTGGTTCTTCATGGTATGAGAGCAGACTATTATTGGTATTCAAGGGTTCATCCAACTGCTGATGTTATCACCAATGGAAACTGACATCAGCAGCCATACAACCTGGCAGACTTTGGAGAGAGATGAGCCAAATTTTTTGATAGATAATGATTTTAGATGTTTTCAGTAGCGGTCTAAAAGCTATTTGATGAACATTTGAAGTTTTTGTGTATTTTTCAAGTGAAAATATAAAAAAAAATAGCATATTAAATTTTCTGATTTGATTGATCTGATCTACTTTTTTGGTGGAATTGGTAGGTAGTTTTTTGTCCATCTGACATTTTGGGAGAGACCTGACATGGTCACATGTCATTTGAGAACACGTGGACTGTACAGTGGTATGTTTCCAGCTTGCTTAAGCCCATTTCAGCTACCAAGAAGCTGCTGTTTGGTGAGGACCATTTGTTTTTGATTAGGGCCCAAAGTTCCAATAGGCTAATTACTACTGCCCACCATAGCACCACTTCCCCTCTCTCTTTTACAATTTCACCCTTGGAAACCAGTCCACAATATAGTGGTTTCTTCCTGCATCCTGTCTCTCCAGTGTATCAACAACACAATCGGCTGATCAAGGTGTCAGTCTGTATTTGATTCCTAACTGCTTTCCCATATTTTGAATGCCCTGGACTTCATGTCGATAGTGCCTCAATCCCCTACTATCATTTAATAGCCAACCTACAATAACATGGCATCACCTTCCACCATTAAATTTCTGAAATTTAAAGTTATAATCAGCATCAATCGCTGAAATTTCTGAAATTCTGCTCTGATATAGGGGTGGATTCGAGCCGAGCCAAGCCGAGCCAAATAGTACGAGGCTCAAACATGGCTTGAGACTGTTCTACAAGGCTCGAGTTCGAGCTCGATTTTGAGAAAAAATGTTTTATAAAATAAAAAAATTATATATAAAAATATTTTTTATTTGATATTTAAAAATATTTTTTATTTTATTTTATATATATAACCGGCTCACAAGCCTCTTGAGCCGAGCTCTATTAGGCTCGAGCTCGGCTCATTTCTTAATCGAGCCTGTGAACTGGGCTCGATCTCGGCTCGAAGCTCGGTTGAAACCGAGCCGAGCCAAGCTTTTCACGAGCCGATCTCGAGTGACTCGTGAAGAGCTCGACTCATGGCCACCCCTACTCTTATAGAGTCTCCATGTTAAAAAGGGCCAGAGAATAATGTTAAATGTTTCCTTCATGGTTTCTGGAGTCCCCTTTAATTCCAAGTCCCCAGTATTACCAATACTTCACCCATCAAAGTTCAGATTGAACGTATTATTAAGGGGTGGAAACCACAGCCTAAGACTGGGTCCTCCACCCAAGGAAGATCTTTCAATAATCTGCCATTTTGTTATCACATCATCTGTGATGAAAGCAAAAAAGTCAACGAAGGTCTTTACCCAGTGGGCCACTTTTACAGTGATACTTTCTATTATCACTTCATTCCTTAGCATCTTCTCATTAAAAATTCTGGCATTCCTTTCTCCCTCTCCACTGGTATTCCTTTTTTCATGTATTTCCTTGTTTAACCTCCCAAGTCCTAACCGCGTAAAGTGTTAGGAGGTTTCCTAAAAAAAAAATAAAAAAAGAAAGCAAACTAACAAAAAACTCCCAAAAGACGGGAGGAAATAACCATCCCAAAAATTTTGGACTCAAGGCCATGGGCTACTACTACCAGGAAGGTTGGGAGGTTTTGTAAACCCATTACTTGAGAATAACCATTTTCTATAGTCATTAAAAAATAATAGTGATAAGTTAATAGGGAGAAAAAGAATGGTAGAACTAGATAAGGTAAGATAAACCTTGCAGTACTAATTAAGTCAATAAGAACAGTAAAAACCTAAGACTAATGCTCCTTTTAAGTTCACTAGACACAAATAGTAGACACATTGTTTTATTGGATTAGAATTTGAAATGAATATTGGAGTTAATGCTTTAAAAACAACTGATTGATATTTGATAGTTTGCAGATCAATGGCCATCAGATTCAAACAACAAAAACCTTGACACAATCTATCATGTTAATATAATGATATAAAATAACAAAGATACAAAGAAAATAAAAAACAAAACATAAGACACATTAAAATTGACTTATACAATGGTTTTAACCATCTCAAACAATTCTTAATAAAGTAAAAGATCAAATAGTTGGTATGGTTGAAAATATTCTTCACCAAGCTAACAATTTATTTTAAACTTTCTTACATGGTTCAAACATGCAATCCAGTCCAGCATATGTGACAGCCATGATAGAACAATCTGGCTTAATTTAATTTACTTCTTCCATTGGACTTGCATAAGTTAACAAGTTGGAATGAACATAAAATTTTGATATCAGAAACCTACAGGGTAAAAAATACCAAATGCAATGTTTACCTCAGGGAAGTCATCATCAGACAGCAAGGAAATATTAATCTCTTTCCTCACATCAGTAACTTGCAGCAGAACATCTTCATTGGGATCACCTGTTCCCAATGGCTTTTTTACACCTGGTAAGATATCATATAACACAACACACAATCATAAGTTTAAAAAACCAAAGATAAGAGTGTAGATATACCCCAAATTTTATCAGCATTACAAATATACCCCTGTAACCTCCAAAAACCCAAATACAATATATCTCTCTACACACATGAAAGTTCAGGCCCTTAAATGTCACTACCCCCAAAGTACAGGGTACCTATCTATAACTGTCCCTTTTGTTGAAGAGTAGATATTCAATAGAATGGTTGTGCAACTATAATCTCCCCCCAAAATTTCTCTCCAACATTAAAACCATCATACTCTTCTCATTCTATCCCTTTCTCTTCTGTTCTGCACTATATACACCAAACACTGATCAAAGGGAGGCAGTTAATCCATTTTAACTACTTAATATTTAATGATATTGTCTTTGAAATATATAATTTAATAGATTCGAAATGCTATCTTATATTATATATGGTGATTTCCATGTTTTGATATGAAATCCATAGTTATTACTTATTAGTTAAGGCAATTGCTTTTTTCAGTATGTATGCATGACGAGTGATATATAAAACTACGAAATTTACTTAGAACTTAGGTTTTTTCTTTGTCAAATTCCATCATTTAGTTGACACTTAGGCACCTATTTAACTAGTCACTTCATTGCCATCTAGAAGGGTACCTTTTATATAGGCACTTTACAGTCACTAGACATGAAGTATTTTAAGAACTGTGTCAACTTTGTTACTCTGATTTAACGTAGTTTCAACCAGACAATTCACAATGGTTCAACTAAATAGAAGAAAAAATAAAGGAAAAAATCAAATAAAATTCAACAAGAACATAATAATCATTATAGAATTACCTACAACTTGATGCAGCTGGTGAGAATTTCTCTGTAAATAGTTATGTGGATCAGTTTTGACCCTCACAAAGCTTCCTGTCACTTTATCTGCAAAAGTCTCAGGGGTGCTCAATAGTTCCATAATTAAACTCCTTTTCAAGTAAACCAGTTTAATGTTTTTAGAAACTATGGAGGCAAAACAGCTCTTTGGGTTTTCTACAACCTTTCCCGTTCGGCAAGATTTTCCATCTGAGATCAATTTTCTCCTCCTTTGACATGACCTTGAGACATCTTCCTCCTCGTCATCCAAACTGTATCTGAACTCATCCTCCTCTGATTCTTCCTTGTTCTCGGAAAGATGCCCTTCTAGTAGCTCATAGATTTTATTTCGGCTCACACTCTTTTTCCTAAAAATAGACTTAAGTGCAGAATCACAAAGGACCTTCTTCTTTTTTTCTGGATGACCAAGATTTTTATCTCGGATATAGTCTCTTATTATATCACTCACTTCAAACTGGGAGAGTTTTTTGCTTGTATCCTTCCCAATGGATGCAAGAAATTCTATTAGATCTTTTGATCCCCATCCAATGAACTCTTTTTTCTTTGATCTGAACTTTTTCATCTTCTTCATTGAAAAGAACAACTGTCCCCTGGAATTATCAACTTCCTCCATTCTTTCAACCAGATCAGAGATTAATAGTTGATCTGCTTCTTCACACTTAGTCAATTCATCAGAATCTGATCCACTCCTGTATTTCTCACCTTTCTTTAACCGTGAGTCTGCAAAATGGAGGTTTTCCAATGTTAAACCTTCTTTTTCCTTTACTATCTGCCAATATTCCATAAATAGAAACTCGTACGTTCCCGTGTCTTTGAAATCAACCTTGCCCTGCAAAATAAGGAAGCTGAAGTCAATAATTGGATAAAAATAAATTAGGCATTCTAACAGCATGAATTCAATAGAAAAGAAAGAAGATAAACTCTGCTATTTCTGGGGCTACAATATCCAACATCATTGTACATATGTTTTATCTATGGTCCAGTAAATGTAGTGAATTTTCTTGTCATACGTGGACAGGATGCACCTATATTTTTTATTGGGTTATTTGTATATTTATTATTGGGCCTCTGTGTCATTGGTCTTTGTGCCAAGTCCTTATTTTTTATTGTTGCCGCTGATGGTTTAAAATGTCCATATATTTCATAGTATAATTTCCATGACATATTTCCTTGTTCTTTTCTTTTAGTGATGAGTGACATATTTCCTTGTTCTTTTCTTTTTGTGATGAGTGACATATTTGCATTTCCATAGGTACCAACACGAGAACATTCTGGAAACACATATTTCCCAATTAAAACTACCAGTGCTATGTGGAGTACAAGAGGTGGTACTATAACAACATAGAATTTCATTTCTGCTATATTCATTTTCTGGGCATGTTGTTTCTTGACTGGCCAGCACTCCACTTCATACGACAAAGCTGGCCTTACAACTGTTTTATACAACTTCCCTTTTAATCTATGTGGTACTTGCCTATCACATAAAAGTCCAGATGCACCCCTTCATTTTGCCCATCCTGCTCTAATTCATTGGGTGACATCCTCCTCAATCTCTCCCTTGTTAGGAATTATTGAACCAAGGAGTTGGAAAGGGACACTCCTTAGCTAATTCTGGTAGGTATCAAGATTGGATAAGTACATTGTTTTTTGCATTGGAAGGTGTACAAGGGGAAAATTTGTTTTGGAGACCATAGACCAGTGACAAAGTTTTTATTCCTTTGCCCTTGCCAGTCTATGACGGTTAGTCCCTAGCATTGTGTTGTTAGCCTAGCTTTCACGTTAAAGTAAGGGATTTTTTTAATCTTATATTCTTAATGAGTGCTCATATTTCAATTTTGGATATGGGACCGAACAAACAGAATGATGAAACAGGATTAATGATTTCATGTAGCCAACCCCATATAGTTGGGAAAAGACTTATATAATATATTCTTCATGGAACCCCATTTGATCTTAAGCTCATAAGTAAAGATGATGCACACCACGTACCTTGACTCTTTTTCATGGAATTGGAATTCGGTCCTTTCTTATGCCAACATTAATGCAATTCTTTATGTTGACTTGTCGTTTTTTTATCAATGACTTGTCCTTTTTTTATTTGTAACTAATACAAATTTTATTGGTTGTAAGTAAATGAATGAAAGAAATTGCATACAAAGTAGTGTGCCAAGTATTCCAAAGATTGCCTAGCCTATGCTAGCCCCTAAAGGGATGAGAGATTCATCATATGGATGGCCGAACCCTGCAAGAAGGTTGGGCGAAATTTCAAAAATTTCCCTCTCCCACGTGGGAATCACATTCCCTATTTTAAAAAACTTCATTTTCAATGATCAATCTTGAACCTAAACCAGACCAGATCTGAAACTAAAAGGGAGTGGAGGGTTATACCTAATACGAAGTAATAGTAACCTCCAATGAAGGTCTTCACGCCCAAGGATGAATCCAAAGACTACTTCCACCGAAGATGACACGGTGCAGGATGAAGCAGAATCAGCAGGATAGCTCTTCAGCAAAAACCTAATTCTTCAGCAAGAATCTGATGGAGGGCGAGTGAGCACGACTTCAGATCACCTTTTATGCCAAAAGGTGATATCAAGAACCCTTTCTTGATCGCTCCCAGAGTGGAGATCGAACTAGTATGGCGGCAGGAACAGGAGAGAGAGCAAAAAACAGGAGTAGTCGAACTGCAGGTTCTCTCTTTGTAACCTTTGAACTGAATTGTGTGTTGGAGGTTCTCCATGCTCCTCTATTTATAGCCTTTAAAGAGAGCATCTCCTAATCCCATTAGGAGTTTCCTAATCCAAATCTTGTATTTGGATCTGGACTCTCTTTAAAGAGATAAGGATAATCCCTTATCTTATCTGCAAATAAAGATCAGCCCTCCTAATCTAATTACGAGTTTCTTGATCCAAATCTTTATTTGGATCTGGACTCTCTGAGTGGATAGAGACAACCCCTTATCTTATCTGTTAATTTAAATCCCAAAACCGCCCCTCTTTAATTAATCTCATTAAGCCAGTTCGAATTGAGCTTTAGGCCCATTAAGTCTATGTGCTCACTTAACCTCCAAACTACTGCCCAGTTGGATATCCTTGTATTGTGTGGGACCCAAGCATCGATCTACACATCAACCACATAGGTTCAGTCCAACCTCTATTACAAGGCCTGGCCAAATTCACTATAGAGGACAGTGAACCCCTCTCATTAAGCCAATTCGAATTGGGCTTTAGGCCCATTAAGTCTATGTGCTCACTTAACCTCCAAACTGCTGCCCAGTTGGATATCCTTGTATTGCGTGGAACCCAAACATTGATCTACACATCAACCACATGGGTTCAGCCCAACTTCTCTTACAATGCCTAGCCGAATTCACTGTAGGAGACAGTGAACCCCTGAGCCCATCACCATGGGCTCTTAATGGGCCCAACATTTACACTAAATGGTCCCTGGGTCAAGCACTGCTCGACAAGAGAGGACCTCTCCCTCATCTGCAAGGTACAATGTTGTACTCTCTACTCACATGGATCCCAGGAATTAAAACATTTTACAAACATTTTGAAACCATAATATATATATATATATATATATATATATGTATATCTCTATATAAACATATTTTGCAAAACAAATTTCAACGGTTGAAATCGATTGCCGGCAGTTTTGGTTTCCATCAGAGAGAGTGCATCCCCGATCATTCACTTTGTCCGACAAAGGGGTTGATCCTGTCACTATGATCATCCACTCGGATGAATTCTCGGACTGTCCCAACATACCCAGGTTTTGACCCCCTCTAAGGATCTCACTGATTGGCATATCAAAAACAGTCCAATTTGACACCTAGTGTAGTATCATAATCGAGTCTAAGGGTCAGGTGTGACGTTTCAGTTTTGCCCATCTATCTCCAAGGTCCAGGGCAATACTGGAATTTTGGTCCGGTTCAAGGTTTCAAGAAAACCCACACTACATGTACATCACGTCTCACCCTGGCAGTTGAGACAGGCCACCCCAACCAACTTGGCAGCACATGAGTGTCAGCCTTGGCAAGATAAATCTCCCTAGATCTATCCAACGACTGTGAAGATTCTAAACTAACACGAGTCTCATATGTGTCCAGTTTAAGGGTATTACACAGAAACACAACATGATAACATGAATCAAATATGTACTTTATTCATTTACATTAAATGTCATAATGTACATCATTCTGATTGGAGCTAAGGGCATATACTGTCTAACAACCCCCACCCCTATACAACACTTCTACACCCCCCCACCTTGGTTAATAGCACATCAATACAATTGTTTCCTAGTTGCACCCTGTTTTGCCAATCCAACCAAAGAGTTGGCTCAACATCTTCACATATAAGTAAAGAAGACTACATGTTGGAGTTACAACACATACACACAATGTTGAAATTGTAGATCAACATCTTAGCATTACAGTATCAAGGGTTGTGAAAGTCTGCATCAAAGCCAGATAAAAAAAAAATTAAATGTGAAGAAAATTACCCATAAAACACTATTAAACAATCGGATATTACAAAAATACAAATGGAAAAAGCTGAAACATAGAGCTGTTATTATGTGTTTTCTGGCATGACATCACAATGATTTCTATCATTCACTCAAACGTTCTAATGATATTATTATGAACCTTTCAAAGCTCTCTAGTAAATGCAATACAGGAATGCGATTTTGAAACCAAAGAATACCCACGGTAGCTCAAGAAAACTATGCAATGAAGATAAAGTAGTTTTCTTTTCCACTTATTTTTTTATTTTTCATTTATTTCCTTTCTTATAGCTCTATAAGAAAAGCATTCATACCCCATCAGAGTCAACATCCACATTTTCTTCAATGAGTAGTGTAAGCTTTAAGCAGTGATTGCAGAAGCCTTTCTTCCCTCTAATTTGCACAAACTCAGATTCTTTTATGCACCGCTGGCAAACAGCATTTGTACAGCACAAGCAATGAAACTTCGGGCTTTTGTTGCAAATGAAGCAAGAATGCCAACCTATCAAATATAAAGACTGAAATCATTTACACGTTATATTTAAATACTCTATTTAATTCTGAAGAGGATTAACATGCAATATTGAAATAAATGGCCAATTCCATAACCATTGGGAGGGAACAGTTCTCAGTTCTCATATCTATACTAACTAGAACCAAGGTTCAAAATATTGGTAGCGTGTATTGTATGGTTACGTAATCAGGATACACTTTGGATATGCATGGATATGGTGGAAATATATGTATATACTTGGATACAATATGGGAACTCCGATAAATCCCACAAATACATTGATAACACTAAATAAATATGAGCTGCTAGAGACAGATTGAGAGAGAGAAGAGAAAGAGGGAATCATTTGTATGGATGTATCTAGAATGAGTGACATCATCCAGAAAAAGAATATTTATATTAATAAACTGAAAGGATCATTCTATCCTCAAATAAAAGAATATGTACAAGTATAATACAATCAATATAGTGTACAAGGAGTATGATACAATGGTACTCCCAAGAAACAAATAAAGCAAATAATAGCAATATTATCCCTTATCTCCAATATATTCCTTACACTCCCCCTCAAACTGATGTCGAGGAACAAGAATCAGTTTATCCATGAGAAAAGTATGTCTGGCACTGGTCATAACTTTAGTGAATATGTCCTCCATTGAAGTCATCAGAGACATGAGAAGTGTTGAATGAACTTTGGAATGTGAAGAAAACTTGAAAATTATGGAATCTAAGGTGTTAGGTGGATTCCGAGCTGATGTTTGGTCAAATAAAGGGTTAAGAAGATTTATATAGGGCATCCAAATATGAAATCAATGAAACATGCCTTGTTAGAAAAGGACAGAAACTATCAAAACACAAAAAAGTTAACTAAAAATTTGAACAAAACATAGCTTGATCAATTCAAATTTTCAATGAACTTCTTCAATGAAGATTTGTGAGCTTTTGATGGTTGTAAACATTGCTTGGAATATTAGAAAGAAAATAGAGAATGAAAACTCAACCAACTATACTTTTTTTTATAGGTAAAAGTTCATTAAAATTTCATTAGTAGCAAAAGATAAATGTCTGTTACAAGCATCCCAAGGGGGGGCGGAGGTGCAGCCTCACTCTTTAAAAGACAAACAGCACAAAAATTACAAATGGGCCCAATACAACTGATCCCTAGTTACTCCATGCTTAGCTACATAGTCATCAAGCGCATTAGCCTCCCTTCGAACCCATTGTATAGTCAAATTCATATGTTCTATTAACCATTTGAATTTCTTCATTTCATTTCTATAACACCATATCATTGAGTCTAGATCTCTAAGACAGCCCACCACTAACATGGAATCCCTTTCTATCTCCAAATTCTACAAACCTATCTCTCTTGCAATTTGTACACCTTGTAGGACTACATACAGTTCGGCACTTAAGGAGTCTCCATTCCCCATCGGTCCTGAATAGAGTGCTCTTAAATTCCCACCGTCTTATGGCCCCTCAATTTCCAAAAAGGCATGGGTTGCATTGACTGCTCCCATCAAAATTTAGTTTCATAAAGCCTTCAATCAAAGGTGTCAAAACCAACCGTGTTTTGTCTTCTGCACAAAACTAGAAGCCACTGAAAACCAATTCCTCCAAATATTATCAAAGGAGAAATGTTTGAACAATTCCTTAATTTGTAGCTAGTGTATAATTCTGGTCACTACACAATCCATAATTTGTTGTTTGCTTCTCTCCTTCTCTTGGAAGATTCTAGCATTTCTTTTTCTTTCCCATAATGTCCAAACTACTCCAGATCTAGTGCACCTCCACATTATTCTTCCCTTCTCTTTGACCAAGCAAAGGTAGATGGATCAAAATATCAAATAGCATCTTAATCTCCATTGGCATATTCCAAATGTGCCCAAACAAAGAGAAAAACCACTCCCAAATTTCACCATCTAATTTACAAGGAGTACACCAATTCGAGAATATACACGGAAAAGGCCTCCTCTTTTGCACGTAATCCAAAGTGTTCATTTTCCCATATACCACTTCCCAGCAAAAAGCCTTAATTTTAGGGGGAATCAGCTAAAACAAACTTCCTTACAAGGAAATGGCGAAGAAGAAGGGAACTGGCAAAGAACTTTAAAAAAAAAAAAAAGTGACAAGAAAAGAAGCCTTTTAGGATTTGGACACCAAACTCCCCTATTTGGTTTAGAAGGCTCTAGGCAGACTTTATCAAGAATAAGAAGAAGCTCTAACAAACAAGTAGCTTCTTCATCCCTCAACCCCCTTCGAAACCCAAAATCCAAACTGTGACTCATAGGTAAAATAGGATGGACTAGAAAACTTGAAATCATCTCATTTTTGTACAGGGAAACAGAATACAAGGATGGAAACAAGTCTTTAAAGGTCGGTCACCAAACCAAGTGTCTTCCCAAAAACGAATTAAGTTCCCTGAGCAAACATCATACCTAATAAACCTGAAGAACTAAGGAAGAAAGTTGTGGATTGCTTTCCAAGGTAGCCTGACGTGATACACTAACATCCCAAGCACTCTCCATTCTCCCATGAATATTATCCACTACCTCACCCCACAAGTTACATTCCCAAGATGTAACCCCCCCACACACACCTTCCTTACTTTTACACATGTGGTGATTCGTGGGGATTGGGAGAGAGAGAGAGAGAGAGAGAGAGAGAGAGAGGGAGGAAGAGAGAGGTACGGTTGAGAGGAAAAAAGTAACTACTGGCTGCCGCCAGTTTTCTATTTATATTAACTTCATAAAAGAATCAGAAATTACAAGTATGCCCCTGGCGGCATACCTAGAATCAAAATAATAAGAAAAAGAAAGAAGAAAAAAGAAACAAGTAATTGTAACTGTCCAACACCCTACTAACAGCAACTATAAAGTAACAATTAAGTAAGCCTTACAACACTCCCCCTCAAGTTGGGCTGAAGATGTCTATCATGCCTAGCTTGTCACATAACTCATTGTGCCGCGAGCACGGAAGCCCCTTTGTAAGGACATCAGCAAGTTGTTCCTTAGAATTGACATAAGGGATGCAAATTTCCCTTTTTTCCAGTTTCTCCCTTATGAAGTGTTTATCCACCTCAATATGCTTGGTCCTCTCATGTAGGATTGGGTTGTTGGCGATGTTTATTGCAGCCTTGTTGTCACAGTAAAGGGACATAGGACTATGAACAACAACTCCAAGCTCCCCTAGAAGGTTCTTTAGCCAAAGGACTTCAGCCACCCCATGTGTCATAGCTCTATATTCAGCTTCAGCACTTGACCTTGCTACCACACTTTGCTTCTTGCTCT